TGGGTCTTTTGGGTATTGAATATAGGATCAAAAACTTTCCTTGTATTGAAAGTTTAATCGAAGACAATAAGTTGAGTATCACTATATTAAGCTTAAATTTGTTTGCTTTGAAAGATTTTGAGTCCGTAGTTCCTGATTGTGGAGAAAAGGGATGGAATTATTATCTACGATTTGTGGTATATTGATTAATATAATAAGGTTCCCATATAATAATGACGGTGGTTTCAAAATGGTGAGAAGTGGTGTAATTTGGCGGTTGTCATTGATGCTCTACTAAGTTGCTATGGAGAAGAAACAAAATTAGAAGTAGAAACAAATAAGAAAAATAATTAAAAAATTAAAATGCATATATTTATGAAAAAATATTAAAAGTAAAATTTTAATATTTATTTTTTATCTTCACTCTCTCCAGGAGAGTGCAATACACTCACTTTGCCATGTAGGCATCTAGGATGGTAATAATTTTTGTTTTAAACAGTTTAGGAGGTGATAGGACTCCCGTGAAGAATGAATGTGTAGTTGAGAATTCGGTCATAGTTTAAGGGGGCATTTGACCATTTTCTCATAATTTTTTTATTTTTTTTAATACAAGAGACTAGCAAAAAGGAACAATAGAGTAGATAGAGTAGCTTGAGAAGATTCTTTTATAAATCCCAAACTTCAAAAAGAAACGATAAGTAAGCGTTTGATCATACGATATCATATTACGATATGATTGTGAGATGAAATCAGCGCTTGGACATACGATTTCATGCTAAGATGAAATCTCATATTCTCCAAAAATCATGATTTGAGATATTTCAAATACAAAAATTGATCCACAAATTTATATTTTGTAAAAACAACCCACATTTATATCTACCAACCATTTATTTCATATGCAAATAAATTTATAGTTCATATAATTACTTTTAAAATCATTTACATCTCATATATCGATTATTCTCACTAACATCGAATTTATCAATTGCTACTTTACCATTTATATTCATCAAATTTATTATTTTTAATCAAATTTATTTACCAACAAATGGTTCAAAATAAATATGTTGATTCGTCTTCTTGGTCATAGAAATGTAAGTTCAACTTGAAAAAGTTGTCTGTACTATGTGGGAGACTATATTAAAAACTAGTACACCACAATTTATATATGTTAATTTTTTTTTTATTGAATTAAAGTTTGATCGATAAATCTTGTATTTTTTAAGAATATCTTTGTGATAACGTATTATGAGATTTTATAAACTTTTATTTATTTGGTAAGATACAATTTAATAGTTTACAACTTATGAAGTTTTATGTTTACGAGAAAACATACCACATAAAAGGTTCAAATCACATGTTCAAACAAAACTTCAACATCATTTCATGATTTCATTTCATGATTCATATCATGATTTCATATAACATGACCAAACGATTTCATCTCATGATTGTTCAAATCACATGTTCAAACAAAACTTCAACATCATTTCATGATTTCATTTCATGATTCATATCAT